AGATGTATTAAAGACGCCTATATGAATGGAGGGAAAACACAGAGATTGACATCGAAGTACTTAAGGGTTACCTACTGCAGGCTGTGCATCCAGCTTCTTGGTAAATCAGTAATATTTGTGAGAATTTACTATGTTAGGTTTTTGTTTTCATTTATTTTTAATAGCCAATACACATGGTTTGAAGTTCAAAGGGTACAGAAGGAGTCACAGTGAAGTGTCCCTTCTACCCTAACCATCCCCACCTGCCCCAATCACCAGATCCCCCCCTTGAGGCATGCATGTTTTATCAGTTCTCTTACATATTCTTCTAGAGATACTTTATGCATATCTAGGCAAAAAATGCTTATGTATTATTTTCCTCCCTGTGCTACCCAAATGGTGAAATACTCTACATGTTCTGTGATCTATTTCTGAAATTTGGAATCAGTAAATATTATTTTATTACTTCAGTTATTAACTTCACATCACGTAACTTCCTGAAGAACATCTACAACAATACTTGTGAGACTTAATAAAAACACTGCATATGCAAAAGCTGGTAGGAATGTAGGACTGCTACCTAGGCTGAAACAGCAACAAGAAAATGGTCTACAGATAATTGAAGTGATGAGAGAAGAGGGATGAACTAAAAACCTTTTTACTACTACAGTTTCCATTTTGAACTGTGCTAGTATTAAAATGTAATCTCCAATTTATGAACTATTTATCATCCATGATATACAAAACTCTGGGCCAGAGACACTATCAGCGATACAAAGACAACCAAGACCAGTTCCTGCCCACAAGTTTACAAGCTTTAAGTGACACACGGCAGCACACAAATGAGTAATGCAATAGGATGTATGTCAAGTGTCATAAAAGAGACACAAGATCCCACATATGGTTCAAAGGACCAAGTACATCTAATTCATAAGAAAGGACAACCTACATGCAATACCTGGCAGTGCCCTGGACTTAGAGCTGTTTGTTTAGAAGAAAAGCATGGAGGCCATGGCTTCAGCCAGGTACGTAGCTGAGAGAGCTTTCTAGAATAGTCCTTGAGGAATGAAGAGTTCTTTGACAGAAGGTGGGAAAGGGAGGACATTCCTGATGGAAGAACCAAAGTAGATCTGGAGAAGTTATGACAGCACTGGGTATGCTTAGGGAAGAGCAAGACCACTGGTGGAGCCTGTAACCAGGGCACATAAAGGAGAGTGGGGCCTGAGACACATGAAGGATGCACAGACTTTCTTTAGATGCTGTGATCAAGAGTCTGCATTTAATGTGTTCCCCAATGAGCATCTATCAAAGGGCTTTAATCAGTGGATTGGAAGAAGACAAGGGTGGGGCCCAGGAGACCAGACCAGAGCTTATTACAACTACCCTATCTCGTCTCTTAAAGTGTCTGATGTATCTTATGGTAAGAACATATGCGATAAAAATGGCAAAAGAAGAAAGTAAGTCAAAACATGTCAAGAAATATGTGTGTTTATGTGTATGTAGCAAGTGGGGATGGACTACAGATACCAAGTCCTTAAAAGACAACACAGAAGCTTTAGAAACAGAGCATTCGGTTCTCGTCTTCTTAAAAGTCAAAGTAAAAATCAAGACTCAGCTCACCAATTATTGCTTAAGAGAAAACAACCCATTAGTTCAGGGAATGTTAACTTTGCTTGGCATTTAGCATAAAAAAAATCAGTGATAGGTAATCAATCAGTAAGATGGTACGAAGATATGGAGATGGTACAAGTATAGGCAGAAGAACAAGTGTTAAAAGTTCCCTTATGTAAAGGACAGACCTTTATAAACAGTCCTTATCTCTGCTGTCTTAATATATCATGGATTTAGGAAATGAAATAGTTAAAAAATCTTAATATATCTTAATGGGAGAACTAATACCCCTAAGTTTAATAATCACTGATGTAACACCTTCTAATCATATTTATTAAAGAAATGAGTATACTGTATTAGAAAATAGTAAATGTGATAATAATGAATGGAAAATAAATTTACCAGGAAAATGTGGGGCTAAAATTTCCTGGGAACTTACCAATTTTGTTACTACTTGAATGCATTAATTCTGGATCCTCAGCTATTTGTTTGAGTTTTTGAAGATACTTTTCAGCCAAATATTTAAAAACTAGAATAAAAACAAAAACCTTACCAGATCAGTATAATTTATGAATATAGAATCTTTTATTTCATATCACTATATTTGTACCTGCTAATAAATATATTTGGAATTAGAAGTATACAATCTAGTTAAAGACATTCAACTTAAAAATTACTTAAGCAATACCTAAATACAGTGGTAATACTAATAAATAGATAGTGGCTTTTTATTAACAAAGACATAAAATAATACTTGTAGGCAGTGGTTCTTTAGCTTTAAGACCTTGATTAGTGGTAATACTCAGCAACACTAAACTGACTTAGTCTTGAAGAGATGTCCTATCCAGAAGACACCTGAAACAGAACTGGGTTGCAATCTAATAAAATAAGTAGCAATTCTGGAATGAGGAAAATAACAATCATTCTCTAATCCTACTTTCTTAAACTGGGAAATACTATGAAATAAATTGAGACCATTCTAACTACCTACTGGAATATACAATACTGTGGAGTTCTAAAACAATTCAGTTATTTTAAAAGGTATGCATGAAAAACACATCTGTGCATACACAATCACACACACAGTTACATGTTTAAAGACAAAACAAAACAAACCCCACCAGTTTTGCTATAGAGGGTAACAAGTATTCAAAGACATTAGTAAGAATTCTAACTCAAAGAAGCATCATGCCTTTAAATTTTCTTAAAGTGACAAAATTCTGTTCTCAATGCAAATGTGATTTGTAAACAACAAACAGAAAAAGCCAAAGGAGGATAAAACAAACGTCCTATTAATTTTTTTTAAAGGCAGTTTACCTTCATTCACATTTAGATCTTCTTTCACTGACGTTCTGTAGAATCTTAGCTTTAACTTTTTTGCCAGTGCCTCAGCTTCCTCACTGTGTATCAATTAAAAGAGAAAAAAAGCTTTTATATGAAGATAATCTCTGATAGCTTGTTTTTAAAAAAATCACTTTTATTACATGTACTGAAAACAGCGTGGCAGAGGGGCTGGGTAAGGCAGAGGAGTTCAAGGTTCGCAGTTTTCAGTTTGCTGTACTCTGGGAGGATCGTTATCCTGTCACTGTAGCCATTTCCCTGTAACTGTATGCAGAGGTTTCTGTAAAGTCCAGATTTAATACAGCTAAATATTACTTTTGTTTATATGATACTTTAATTTTCCTTCTTCTGTTTTTAAAAACAATTGAATTTACAATCTGAAAAATCCTACTGCATTACTTATTTTACTCTTACGGCTATGAAACTACTTTGCTGCCAAAATGAGCTGTATTAATGACTATGTCTACAAGAGTGGACTCCTGATTTTAGTTTTATTCAGACGGAGTAAATATGCTCCAAAATGGTCCCCAGTGATTCCATACCCAGACACCCACTTCTGGCCTTCATACCCTTGTACAGTTACTTCCCATGCTGTAATCAGGATTGGTCTGTGTGACCAATAATGTACAGAAGTGGTGGCATGTGACTTCTGAGACTTGGTCACAGGAGACATTGTGGCTTCTGCCTTGCTCGTTCTTGGTGAGGCTGCCAGAGAAGCCAGCTGCCACACTGTGAGAACCCACAGGCAGCCCACGGGAGAAGTCCACACAGCAAGAAGCTAAGGTTTGCCCACAGCTGAGGGGTGCGCCGCACGGCAAGTACCGCTTCCATCCCCAGTCAAGCCTTTACGTGACTACAGCCTAGATGACCTCTTGAGGGCAACCTCATGAAAAACTAGGGACCAGAAGCCCCAGCAAAGCCACTCTCAGATTCCTGACCCATGGAAACTGTGAAATAAATGTTTTAAGCTACTGAGTTTTGGGTTAACTTGTTATCTAGCAACCGGTAACTGACATAAGAACATATAAAAAAGTAGAAAACCAAACAGACTTTCAAATCTAGCAAAACAGTAATACAGCAAATACAGACAAATTATCTGGATGCTAAACTATTTATAAATTTGTAAAACTAATTACAAATAACAGTTCTGAATATACAGAATATATAAAACTGAACTAGTTTATTTAAACATCAATACAGGATAGCTACTTACTTCGGATATTAAAACATCCTAGGATGTTTTTCTTACAGTCTTAACTACAGCTAGATTTGACTTAACATGAAGAATTGTGGTACAAGACTTAAGACTGGAATTCTAAAATGACCTACAAAATTTATTCGTATAGTTTTTCTTTACTTAAGATTCAGTGTGAACTTTTTTTGACCCAATCACACAGAATACCTCACAGAAACTTTAAAGCATCCTGTAGAAAAACTTTACTACATTTTGTAAGTCTATACAAAAATTAAAATAGGTTTTAACATTATAGAACTACCACCACCCCCTCAAAGTAGCCATCTTACTTCTTTATACAAGAATCATCCAAGAGATCAATCTTATTTTGTACAAGTACAGTTGGTATGTCTCCAACTTCAGCTACTACTTTCTCTCTCCAACTGGAAATTGCTTCAAAAGATTCCCTGTCTGTGGTAGAAAATACAAGCACACAAGCCTGGGCTCCTGTAAGGGCACAAAATAAAAATGTTATTTACCTTAATGAAACAACCCTATGCAGGGTAAGGGCAACTTCTGTCTATTCAGAACAATTTTTGTGTAAATATATGTTGAACTCATCTTTGTTGTACTCTGCTTATTTTTTAACAAACATTTCTACTACAAAGAACTGGTTTTTACACATTCTTTGTGGAACACCACAAAATACGGATATATTTCATTGCATTACAGAGAGAATGGTAAACTAAGCATGAATAGGCTTTTGCCAAGATCTTTTAATATTTGTCATTTGCTTCTTAATTTCTTTTAGCACAGATTTAAGAAAATTCTATGAGAAAATAATCAGTTTGCTCATTGTTTACTTTTTAAAAAGATCTATTTTATTTTATTTTAGTAGGAGAATACCAGTGATGCTGAGGAACCTAATTTAAGAATCAGTGCCAAGAGTAAAAAACATGTAAGTGGAAAAAAGTTTTATTTTTAAAAAAGTTGTTTACTCTGTTTGCATAATTCCCATATTATACTCATAGACAATACTTACCAAGTATCACATTAGGTTGATAAGAACTAAGTTGGAAAATAAGCAGCAACCTTCTGGAAGTAGCTTTTTTTTTTTCTTAACAAATGATTAGCTGTTGAATCAGGGAGTATGGTGAAAAGCAGGTGTGTAGGTAACAAGAGGAAACCATCCTGGGGTCAGAAGGATGCCCTGGAATCCAGGCATGGGTCCTTCCAGATCCCTCAGGTACAGGAGTTTGCTGCTAAGCCTCAAGACATACATACCTGGCTGCCTAGGACACTCTTGAGGCCAAAGAAGGTCTGTAGAGCACCCGCAGGAATACAGAAAGTAAAAGCACTAATGAGAGAGAAAACCAGCAATCCACTATGAATGCTATTTGTTAGTTTTAAACCCAAGCTTTATATTCAGTCAACTGTCTTTTAAGTATGAGGGCCCTAAGGGCATTTCCAGGTATACAGGTCTTGGACACCTTAAAAAAATTAAAAAGGCTCTTAGAGGAAGTATATATTAAAATAAAACATCAACAAAAAACAAGCAGATGGTGCCAGAGATTAAAGCAGCAAGAATGATTAAGAAAAGCACAATGTTATTAAAAAAAAAAAAAAAGGATCAAAGGTAAAAGAAAAAGCATGCCCATGACAACCCCAAAATTCCTGTGGGGACGGAGTGGGGAGGGACCAAAGGAATGTGGGGGTGTCTGCAGGGGAGGAATAAGTAATATTGATAAGTAAGTAATCAAGGGTGTTTAATAAACATCAATACGTGTCGCTGACACTGAGGCCGCGCACAGGTCCCCTCAGCCCCGGGGTCAGGGCGGCTGGGAGGACAGGTGCCCGCCACACGGATCCTACCTCGGGCATCCGCCGCAGGCAGCTCTCTTGCTTTTCTGCCTCGGGGCTTCTTCTGACGCTCAGAAAGACCTTTTCGGGGAGTGCGTCCCGGAAGAGGAACTGATGCCTCTGGAGGAAGCTTCAACTTAGGGGGGGATCAAAATGCCTCAGCTGCACGTTGGTGGAACCATCCTGCGCTGTGTCTGTGTGGTACCTCAAAAGGACTGATCCCCAACTGCTTACAGTAATAATTAGCTCATTAACGTACCCTTTATGGGTTTTTCGCCATTCTTTCCCTAGTTTCTCACTTCTACTTCCTGGGATCACCTCCCAAATAAATCACCCCTACCAAGCTGTGCCAAGAACTGCTTTGTGTGTGCACGGTGGGGGAGGATCGAACTAAGATAGTCTCTTAAGTTAAAGGCAATCGCCGTAAAAGACGAATGTGTGACTGTTAAACCAAGGGAGAACAGTAGATTTATCCAATGTAGAGGAGGAAAAAATACCAAAAAGCAAAAGAACTACAGAAAATATAAACCTGAACTAAGATGACAGAAATAAGCCAAAACAAAGCAATTACAATCTCCCCAAAGAATGGTCCACAAATCCCTACAGTAGTCTGGTTCACTTGATATTAAGCCTCCAGATTGGATGCTTGCAACCCCTTATCTTATCTAATCTAATATATTACAAAGTGAAAAACAAAAACCAGACAACCTGGATTACTTCTCAGTTATAATAGTTCTGACAAATGTTGGACTACCTGTTTTAATTTCCCCTAATTAAGTATCATCCATTCATACAGATAAAATACTGTCAAATCGTGATGCATTCCTTTATGCTTTAAGAAAACTCTAAAAAGCAAAAAAAAAAAAAAAGCAAAAAACCTTTTCTACTATATTTTGAACTTAAAAGAGGACCCTTTTTACAAAATTTTGGCATAAGTACCAATAAAATACAGGACAAATACCAGATTCCAAAATATATGTGGAGATAATTATATGCAGAATTTACAAAGGAAACTGCTCTAAATCCATTACACAACCCTAGAACTCCCTAAGCACTTCAAGAATTGTTATTAAGAATTGAGAAAAGGAAAGAAAGAAGACTTGTAAAGGGTTTCTTTAGAGAAAGTGCTGTCCATTCAACCCTCCTCTTTGAAGACGACGGGGTGGGATGCGGGAGGGTACTGGCATTACCTCTGTCTCCACCTGGAAGAAACGGACTTCAGTGAGACCGCTTAGGGAGCTTGACATGTGTTCCCAGTAACTGGGGACCTCTGGACTGATGGTGCCTTGATTCAAGCCTGAGAAAGATGCAGTGACTGGGAGAGAGTGAAATGGCAAGGCCACGAGAGGAGGAGAGCTGCATTAGGCAGCGTGCTCCCACCGAGGGGAACACAAGGAAAGCCCACGCATTTCCTAGAGGTGAACCACGTCTGAGAGACGAGTCAGCATGGGGTCATTTTAAATCATGTGATGGGGCACTGGAGCTTAGCATGAAGGAAGGTGGAGGGGAAATGCTGACTCCCACAAAGGGACAAAGCAACTGCCAGAATCAAGTACACAAGTTTCCAGGAGAAACATACCGGAACAGGAACTCCGGAGGAATTCAGGACAATCAGCTGGATAAAGAATCATCTTTAAACATCTGGCGTGCAGAGAACCCCCTAGTCGGATGGCAGCAGCACCTGCCATGGTGCTCTGGTCTCCCAACTCCCTCTCCTCCTAGGCCTGACCCAGGAGAAGGCAGAAATGCCTCTGGCAGCTAGGGAAGAGAGGAGGCGGCGGGGGGGCCACCGGCACTTCCTTCCTAGACCACAGCCTGGCCTGCTGAGACCCCAGAGAGCACAGGGGATTTAGTGCTAAATCACATTTGTTGGTTAATACACAGGACTGGCTACTCCAATTACCAAATGGACACTATGTTTACGACTGGAAATAACTATGAGTCAGTTGAGAAAAACTGCTGTCTGTGAGTGACCAGAAAGGACATGATTTGAAGGGAATTTTCATTTGAGGATCAAGGAAAGGACTTCCCCTCCTACTACCTAATAAAATACAAAAGGACTGTGAGAGATAAAACGTTTTATTTGGTAACTCCATGAACTGTGCCTGTGCAACATACCAACTACCATAAATATTCTTAATTCAGAAATAACCCTATACTGTTATCCTGTCCTTCTTTTCCTTTGACCTCCAGTTCTGTGTTGGAGCCAGTCATCCTGAGGAAAGTTAGTAATTTTGATTTTGGTTGTGTCATTTGGACCTATCTTACACCCTTGATTTTAAACGCAGCTAGTGTTTTCTATCGCTGTATTTTCAAAAGACTTATTTTCCTACCACTCAATCCTCCTTCAGTACTACCTACCCTAAGAATCACATCACTGAAAAATTACTTCCTCATCATGGGTAACAGTAAATCACCCACGACTGAATAGCTTCTAATAGTTAACCCCATTTACCCACACATCAGGAATAGAGATGTGAACAAATTTTTGCTGTCGATTATAATATCACCAACAGCAAATATTTATTCTTAATTAATAAGATCATTCAAAAAGTTACTGTATCTGAATTCAATTCAGAAGATATCCCAACACATGTGTGGAGAGTAATTCTGTCCTCCAACCACTGAAATACCCTACAAATGGTGTCTAGACTTGTTCTGAGTGTGACTGAGGACCAACAGCATCAGTGTCACCCGGGAGACTGCAGAAATGCAGACTCCACCCTTGGAGCTACTGCTTATAGTCTGCATTTTAACAAGCTCCCCAGGGGGATTCAGGTGCACATTACAGTTTAGGACACACTACTCTAGAGAACCAGTGTAAAATTTGATCACAGGGCTTTATATGTTATTACAGATTTCACTCTGGATTTAAAATATTTGTCCCTTGTTCTTTTTGACACTCTGTATAATCTGAAACACACAAGTTATTCAATGAATCAATCTGTCACAGAATCCATGCCCACATAATTTCAGAACAAATCTGTGTCTTGCATAGTCTAATTTTGTTCTACAATTCTTGCATTTATAATTTTAATTTATAAGTAGTTTCTTGTCTAAAGCTATTTCATTTCCAACAATTTATATTCATTTGTCTGTGAAAGTACTTTTTTTTTTAAAAAAAAAATAAAGGTTGCTTCCTTCTTTATATGTGAATAATCTCCGATAATAGGTCTCAAATCTGTAACCTCATTTCCATATACTGTTAGCTAGTATCTGGGGACATTTGGGGTCTCAAAAGGCTTCCTAATGATTTGTGCTCTATTCTAACCTATTTACAAGAAGGTCATGTTTCAGCATGTCTCTCTGTATGATTAAGCCAGCATTCCAAGAACATAATAATGCCTTTGAGCAATGGATTTTTTATATAAGAGGTCTTTTAAATGAACTGTAATAAAATTTTTCTTTTTAAAATATTTTATTCATCTTAAGTAACACATTTTTGGACATAAATCAGTAAGTTACAATTTTAAAAGGCAGAGAGTTTCTGTTTCTACTAAGTGCATATCTTACTGAACTCATTCTTCCTAGCCCTACCTTCTCTTCCTAGTCTTTACCTCTATTTAATTACATCATCATCTGACTCTATGCTAATTGCACATATTACCTGGTTGCCTACCTGGTGTCCAGTTCCCCTCCCTTCCTGAGAACACCTCTCCTCGATGGCACAGCAGCTTTATGGTTTACGCAGGCTAAACCTACCCACTGCTCTGAGGTGAGGCCCTAAGCACGCCAAGCCTATTAGGATGATCACATTCCTCCGACTACTTATTGTAATCTGGTCAAGGGCGGCCTAATCAGATAAAAGCTCAGGACTTTTGATCCTTGTTGTGGGAAGTAACCCTCTCTCCCCAGCAAAGTGAACAAAGCATGTGGCCTCCATTGCTGATGGTAACAATCTTATAACCAAGAGGGAAATCAGCATGAGGAGGAACCCCAAGCAGGGAGGTGGGGGCAAACCAAGAGAATCATTGAGGTCACAGTCAGGACAATGCCCAATCAAAAGCTATGTCACTTCCACTTTTCTATTAAACAAGTCAAAACCAGTTTAAATCAGTTTTAAATTGCTCTTCTGCTGTCAGCAGCCAAAAGCCTTCTGATGGAACCCCAAAGGAAAGTATAAAAGACTGTTCAACATGCCATTTATGTATAATTGCCCCTGTTTATTCCATAATTCAAATTGGGATGTAATGGATATTTCTTACAACTTAGAAAACAATACTGAAACTTAAGACTTGTCTCAGTATCCCACCCTTTTTGTCATTTTAACGTGGTTGGCTAAACCAAGTTACATTTTAAGCAAAGCTTTTAACAGACACTTATTTATACCCTTAAGATTATTTTAAGTTAAAATGTTAAATATAGGGAAATTGAAGCTGTTTAAAACCTTTTAGTCCAAATGAAACAAAATAGAAAGAAATGTCTTAATTACTCACAGTAATTAAGATGCTAATACTAATAATTATGGGCTCTCTTTTTAGTTTCTGGCAAAGAATGTTTTTTGTAGACATATTAAAGAGAAACAGTATGATCTGTGGACACCTAAAAAGTACTAAACAAGAAGTACACAACAACCTAGATGAACCAATTTTTAAAAATTAAAAGATAATAATGTTGAACACATTCTCATGCCAAAAACTGGGGAAAGCATTAATACTGCCAAGTACAGTGGAAATTAAAATATTTTAGCTACCTCGCTGCTTTTTTTAAAAATCAGGGGCCCAAATGGTCTACTGAACTGCACTATTCCAACATTTTCTCTTTATTTAGGTACAAATCAAATAATTGTTGACATTTGACCAGTTTTGCTTATTAAAGTTAAACTTTATTTTGGGATAACTGTAGACTCACAGTTTTATCTTTTTACATTAGAGCTACATAATGGTAAATAGAATTCTCAAAAAAACTATACTGGTTAAAAAGTAATACTTCCATATCAAATTGTCAAAAGCTTAAAAAGAAACAGCCCAATCTATTTTTTTTCCTCAAAGAAAAAAAGAACACATATTTCATGATGAGAATTAGAGAAAAAAGCTAGGTAGGTAAAAAGAAAATAATGAAAATGTAATCCTACCACTTTTTAGTGTTTCTACCTAGGTTTTTTGTCTTATTTTTTTCTTTGAATGTTGGGATAGGGTTATAGGGGGTTGTGGTGGTAATAAGCCCACTTAAAAAAATACAAATAACCTTCAGTGAAGAATAAACTGTATGTTAAGGACCTGTCAATCAACAGCACCAATGCTCAGGAGATGCATAGTCTGATAAAAATATCATCTAATCTAAGAAGAGCTCTGGGTAGTAAGAACATAGTTCCCACCTCACATACATCATGATACAGGTGCTCAAGATCCAAGCTGGCATCCACAGGAAAGGGATAATCAAAGCTACTGTGTAGATGAGAGGCCTTTAAGGAGGGGGAGCAGTGAGTAATGGCGGCATCATCAGGATGGCACCCGAAAGGTGTGCCTCTCGTATTTTCTCAAGGAACCAATGTTTTCTTAGAGCAGGCTGTCGAAGTCAAGTTCCCTTAGTACCAATTTAGAAAGAAAACTTCTTTGGCTGCTTATATGTTAGTGTAACTATGTTTTCATTAGACCTCAGTTATCATTATTATAATAAATCCCACATTTTCAAAAAGTAGAAAAAGCAAGATATACATACAGTCAAAAGCATCAATGGGCTATACTGCTATGTGTAATAGATGAAGCTTTCAGTTCTTCTCTTATTACAAACACCCTTGGCAGTGAGCTAGAGAAACAGTGAAAGTGCTTTTGAAAATTCCAAAAGGACAAAATTTTATAGGACAATGTTAATGGAAACTTTACGTTCCATTTAGAAATCTAAGTTTTCCTTGAGAAGTCTAACTCCACATTGTAGAGTCTTAAAACCTACAGCTATAGTTCTTCCCTTTCACATACACGTCCTACAGCAGTTGAAAGGCTCTACCCATTCAAGTTCATGTGTCATGACAAAATGTCATCTTATTGCAGGGGCTCTATTTCTTCATAGGTTAGTGTTCTATGCCTTGGGGTCAGAAGTAGGCATTTAACAGTTTCTGACTGATTAGGTCTAGGAATGCCTATATGAGTTACATAATTTTAAGGCAGAGACAAACTGTCCATAGTACAAAGTATTATTTGCCACTCAACAAGGTCTTTAGAATAATAATGACCTGGGCTTTTAAAAAATATTTTGAAATGAAGTATTCTTAAAGAGAAACCCTTCTATGGAAAACAAAAAAAAAAGCAAAGTTCTTTGTGTAGGCAAAAGAACATACCCAAACAAAAACCCCCGCAATTTACCTCGATAGTAGGCCTTTGTTATTGCATCAAATTCCTCTTGACCTGCCGTATCCCATAACATTAGTCTGACATCTTCATCATTAACTCTGAAACGAGATGAATTTATTTCATATGTATTTAGTAATAAAGCTTTGTATATACTTTTATTCTTCAGACTTGGAGGTATTAAAACTACATTGCTGGTTTCATTCTGAAAAACAGTACTTTTAAATATTGATACCACTACTAACACTGAAAATGAAGGGTGAAAGACATTCCCTCAAAACCGTAACTTAACACATGATTTGGATTTACCTATCATATTTCTTCCCTCTGAGACTAGCAGTGTTGGGAAAGGAGAACTCCCCAGGTCAGTGCTTGCTCTCTTCTAGCCACACCCTTCTAATGGGTTCCGGTGTGCAAGTAATAGAACAAGAATAAGAAAGGAAAGGAAGTAGCTACCTGCTCGGTAGCCCTTTATAACTTATACTTACTAAATTACTTACTTATTTTGTCACACAGTCCATTGTCTTTTTCGTGGTAGTTGTGTTCTGTAAAGTCACTGCAAAGGCTGATTAGCAAATACAGAGCCATTGCTCCTAGGGGAATACAGGGTCAGGTTCCTGTGTGTGAGCCCCTGGTTACATTTTCATCAACTAATCAATACATAACTTTGCTTTATTGTGTGGTTCTGTTTAAAGATACCTTATTTAATACATATAAATTCAGTAGCACTTACCTCGAGGCTGAGAGCACTCTCATGCCTGACTGAAGCTTATCTAACACATATTCTCTCTGTAAACCATGTCAGTCTTCCTGCACTTAGGAACACTAGACAGCACTTCAACACTGTGCTTTGGGGCTGTATTAAATAGCAAAATCACCAACAGAAAGCACAAGAGACATGAAAAGGACACTTGTTCATGGTATGAGAGATGAAAGATGAAGGAAGAGCGCCCCCTTGTTTGACCTAAGTGGGGAATGTGCACACAGATAGCAAAGTTTTTTGCTGCTCTGTGCTTGTCCACCAGTAAAGCACTGGGAGTATTGACTCTGGGGTTACAAATACATTTTAGCAAGTAGGTGAATTTGCAAATAAATAATTACAAGTAATGAGGATCAACTGTATCCTTAAAATATTAGTATGCCTCAGATAACAAATAAGAAAAATAAACATCATGAAGACTTAAAATGGATCCTCTTAAAATAACAGAAAGGAAGCAAATACAGAAATATTTTAAAAAGGGTAATAGAATACAGATTAGAAATTCAAGTCTTTAAAATAACACCATCATCCTGGATGCTAATTATCTGGGCTGGTTAAGTCAGATTTGTTTAATGTTACTTATTTCTATAATACATTTCAGTTGGTCTCCTATAATTTAAAATATCATTAAGAATTTTCAGAACTAATGACCACAAAATGTTACTTTGATGTGTTTTAGAATCTACTTGGATTCCCTGAAGTAAGATGTCCTTTTCATTGGAGTATTTAATCCTCCCAAATATTCCTTCTCATATTTCCTTAAAGTAAAAACAAGTTATTAATCATCTAACTTCTATATTCTTGCCCAGTTTTAAAAAGAGAAGAGACATTCTAAACAAAAGGATCCCATTACATATGTGATAAAAAATATCATGACAGGTAATTTTCCTTCCAAACAAAATATA